GGTAGTGATGGTAGTGATGGTAGTGAGGTGAGTGGAGTGATGGTAGTGTTGGTAGTAAGGTGAGTAGTGTTGATGATGTTGGTAGTAAGGTGAGTGGTAGTGGTGGTAGTGATGGTAGTGAGATGAGTGGTGGTGATGGTGGTGTTGGTAGTAAGGTGAGTAGTGGTGATGGTAGTGTTGGTAGTAAGGTGAGTGGTGGTGATGGTGCTGTTGGTAGTAAGATCAGTGGTGGTGATGGTAGTGTTGGTAGTAAGGTGAGTGGAGTGATGGTAGTGATGGTAGTAAGGTGAGTGGTGGTGATGGTAGTAAGGTGATGGTAGTGTTGGTAGTAAGGTGAGTGGTGGTGATGGTAGTGATGGTAGTAAGGTGAGGGAGTGGTGGTGATGGTGGTGTTGGTAGTAAGGTGAGTGGTGGTGATGGTAGTGTTGGTAGTAAGGTGATGGTATTGTTGGTAGTAAGGTGAGTGGTGGTGATGGTTGTGTTGGTAGTAAGGTGAGTGGTGGTGATGGTAGTAAGGTAATTGGTGGTGTTGGTACTAAGGTGAGTGGTGGTGATGGTGGTGTTGGTAGTAAGGTGACTGGTGGTAATGGGAGTTTTGGTTGTAAGGTGTGCAGTGGTGATGGTAGTAAGGTTAGTGGTGGTGATGGTAGTGTTCGTAGTAAGGTGAGTGGAGTGATGGTAGTCTTGGTAGTAAGATGAGTGGCAGTGATGGTAGTGATGGTAGTGAGGTGAGTGGTGGTGATGGTAGTGTTGGTAGTAAGGTCAGTGGTGGTGATGGTACTGTTGGTAGTAAGGTGAGTGGTGGTGATGGTGCTGTTGGTAGTAAGATCAGTGGTGGTGATGGTAGTGTTGGTAGTAAGGTGAGTGGTGGTGATGGGAGTGTTGGTAGTAAGGTGAGTGGTCGTGATGGTAGTGTTGGTAGTAAGGTGAGTGGAGTGATGGTAGTGTTGGTAGTAAGGTGAGTAGTGTTGATAATGTTGGTAGTAAGGTGAGTGGTAGTGGTGGTAGTGATGGTAGTGAGATGAGTGGTGGTGATGGTGTTTGGTAGTAAGTGAGTAGTGGTGATGGTAGTGTTGGTAGTAAGGTGAGTGGTGGTGATGGTGCTGTTGGTAGTAAGATCAGTGGTGGTGATGGTAGTGTTGGTAGTAAGGTGAGTGGAGTGATGGTAGTGATGGTAGTAAGGTGAGTGGTAGTGATGGTAGTAAGGTGAGTGGTGGTGATGGTAGTAAGGTGATGGTAGTGTTGGTAGTAAGGTGAGTGGTGGTGATGGTAGTGATGGTAGTAAGGTGAGTGGTGGTGATGGTGGTGTTGGTAGTAAGGTGAGTGGTGGTGATGGTAGTGTTGGTAGTAAGGTGATGGTATTGTTGGTAGTAAGGTGAGTGGTGGTGATGGTTGTGTTGGTAGTAAGGTGAGTGGTGGTGATGGTAGTAAGGTAATTGGTGGTGTTGGTACTAAGGTGAGTGGTGGTGATGGTGGTGTTGGTAGTAAGGTGACTGGTGGTAATGGGAGTTTTGGTTGTAAGGTGTGCAGTGGTGATGGTAGTAAGGTTAGTGGTGGTGATGGTAGTGTTCGTAGTAAGGTGAGTGGAGTGATGGTAGTCTGGTAGTAAGATGAGTGGCAGTGATGGTAGTGATGGTAGTGAGTTGAGTGGTGTGATGGTAGTGTTGGTAGTAAGGTGAGTGGTGGTGATGGTACTGTTGGTAGTAAGGGAGTGGTGGTGATGGTGCTGTTGGTAGTAAGATCAGTGTGGTGATGGTAGTGTTGGTAGTAAGGTGAGTGGTGTGATGGGAGTGTTGGTAGTAAGGTGAGTGGTCATGATGGTAGTGTTGGTAGTAAGGGTGAGTGGAGTGATGGTAGTGTTGGTATTAAGGTGAGTGGAGTGATGGTAGTGTTGGTAGTAGGTGAGTGGTGTTGATGATGTTGGTAGTAAGGTGAGTGGTAGTGGTGGTAGTGATGGTAGTGAGATGAGTGGTGGTGATGGTGGTGTTGGTAGTAAGGTGAGTAGTGGTGATGGTAGTGTTGGTAGTAAGGTGAGTGGTGGTGATGGTGCTGTTGGTAGTAAGATCAGTGGTGGTGATGGTAGTGTTGGTTAGTCAAGGTGAGTGGAGTGATGGTAGTGATGGGTAGTAAGGTGAGTGGTAGTGCTTGGTAGTAAGGTGAGTGGTGGTGATGGTAGTAAGGTGATGGTAGTGTTGGTAGTAAGGTGAGTGGTGGTGATGTAGTGATGGTAGTAAGGTGAGTGGTGGTGATGGTGGTGTTGGTAGTAAGGTGAGTGGTGGTGATGGTAGTGGTTGGTAGTAAGGTGATGGTATTGTTGGTAGTAAGGTGAGTGGTGGTGATGGTTGTGTTGGTAGTAAGGTGAGTGGTGGTGATGGTAGTAAGGTAATTGGTGGTGTTGGTACTAAGGTGAGTGGTGGTGATGGTGGTGTTGGTAGTAAGGTGACTGGTGGTAATGGGAGTTTTGGTTGTAAGGTGTGCAGTGGTGATGGTAGTAAGGTAGTGGTGGTGATGGTAGTGTTCGTAGTAAGGTGAGTGGAGTGATGGTAGTCTTGGTAGTAAGATGAGTGGCAGTGATGGTAGTGATGGTAGTGAGGTGAGTGGTGGTGATGGTAGTGTTGGTAGTAAGGTGAGTGGTGGTGATGGTACTGTTGGTAGTAAGGTGAGTGGTGGTGAATGGTGCTGTTGGTAGTAAGATCAGTGGTGGTGATGGTAGTGTTGGTAGTAAGGTGAGTGGTGGTGATGGGAGTGTTGGTAAGTAAGGTGAGTGGTCCATGATGGTAGTGTTGGTAGTAAGGTGAGTGGAGTGATGGTAGTGTTTGGTAGTAAGGTGAGTAGTGTTGATGATGTTGGTAGTAAGGTGAGTGGTAGTGGTGGTAGTGATGGTAGTGATGTAGTGAGGTTGAGTGGAGTGCTGGTAGTGTTGGTAGTAAGGTGAGTAGTGTTGATTATGTTGGTAGTAAGGTGAGTGGTAGTGGTGGTAGTGATGGTAGTGAGATGAGTGGTGGTGATGGTGGTGTTGGTAGTAAGGTGAGTAGTGGTGATGGTAGTGTTGGTAGTAAGGTGAGTGGTGGTGATGGTGCTGTTGGTAGAAAGATCAGTGGTGGTGATGGTAGTGTTGGTATTAAGGTGAGTGGAGTGATGGTAGTGTTGGTAGTAAGGTGAGTGTGGTGATGGTAGTAAGGTGATGTGGTGTTGGTAATAAGGTGAGTAGTGGTGATGGTGGTATTGGTAGTAAGGTGACTGGTGGTAATGGGAGTTTTGGTTGTAAGGTGTGCAGTGGTGATGGTAGTGTTGGTAGTAAGGTGAGTGGTGGTGATGGGAGTGTTGGTAGTAAGGTGAGTGGTGGTGATGGGAGTGTTGGTAGCAAGGTGAGTGGTGGTGATGGGAGTGTTGGTAGCAAGGTGAGTGGTGGTGATGGTAGTGATGGTAGTAAGGTGAGTGGCAGTGATGGCCGTGATGGTAGTGAGGTGAGTAGTGATGATGGTAGTGTTTGTAGTAAGGTGAGTGGTGGTAATGGTAGTATTGGTTGTAAGGTGATGGTGGTGTTGGTAGTAAGGTTAGTGGTGGTGATGGTGGTGTGGTAGTAAGGTGAGTGGAGTGATGGTAGTGTTGGTAGTAAGGTGAGTGGAGTGATGGTAGTGTTGGTAGTAAGGTGAGTGGTGGTGATAGTAGTCTTGGTAGTAAGGTGAGTAGTGTTGATGATGTTGGTGGTAAGGTGAGTGGTAGTGGTGGTAGTGATGGTAGTGATGGTAGTGAGGTGAGTGGTGGTGATGGTAAGTGTTGGTAGTAAGGTGATGGTGGTGGTAGTGTTGTAGTAAGGTTAGTGTGGTGATGGTAGTGTTGGTAGTAAGGTGAGTGGCGGTGATGGTAGTGAGGGTGAGTGGCGGTGATGGTAGTGAGGTGAGTGGTGGTGATGTAGTTTTGGTAGTAAGGTGATGGTGGTGTTGGAAGTAAGGTTAGTGGTTGGTGATGGTAGTGTTGGTAGTAAGGTGATGGTAGTGTTGGTAGTAAGGTTAGTGGTGGTGATGGTGGTGTTGGTAGTAAGGTGAGTGGCGGTGATGGTAGTGAGGTGAGTGGTTGTGATAGTAGTGTTGGTAGTAAGGTTAGTGGTGGTGATGGTAGTGTTGGTAGTAAGGTGATGGTATTGTTAGTAGTAAGGTGAGTGGTGGTGATGGTAGTGTTGGTAGTAAGGTGAGTGGTGGTGATGGTGGTAGTGTTGGTAGTAAGGTGAGTAGTGGTGATGGTGGTAGTGTCGGTAGTAAGGTGAGTGGGGTTGATGGTGGTAGTATTGGTAGTAAGTTGAGTAGTGGTGATGGTAGTGTTGGTAGTAAGGTGAGTGGTTGTGATGATAGTGTTGGTAGTAAGGTGAGTGGTGGTGATGGTGGTACTGTTGGTAGTAAGGTGAGTGGTGGTGGTGATGGTGGTAGTGTTGGTAGTAAGGTGAATGGTGGTGGATGGTAGTAAGGTAATTGGTGAGTGTTTGTAGTAAGGTGATGGTGGTGTTGGTAGTAAGGTGATGGTAGTGTTGGATAATAAGTGAGTAGTGGTGATGGTAGTGTTGTAGTAAGGTGAGTGGTTGTGATGGTACTGTTGGTAGTAAGGTGAGTGGAGTGATGGTACTGTTGGTAGTAAGGTGAGTGGTTGTGTTGGTAGTAAGGTGAGTGGTGGTGTTGGTAGTAAGGTGAGTGGTGGTGTTGGTAGTAACGTGAGTGGTTGTGATGGTACTGTTGGTTGTAAGGTGAGTGGTGGTGATAGTGGTGTTGGTAGTGAGGTGAGTAGTGGTGTTAATTGTTCTATAGATGATGGTACTTGTTCTGGTGGTGATTGGTGATGATGGTGGTGATGGCGGTGGAGATGGTGTTATAGGATCTTGTTGTGCAGGTGGTATTCCCGGATCAGGGTCTTTTGCGTAACCCCACGTGTGGCGTGGTTACCTCTGGTTAGCACCTGTTCTAGTTATTACTTCTGTGGTGATTCCTGCTCCATTCTAAACCCCGCAGACACCGTGGACGGGGGGAACAAGCCTTCCCCCCACCCCCACGCCGCCCACCCCTCACCCCCCGCGTGCCCAGCGACCGCTCAACCACACGCTCCACCACCATACGTGGCGTCCACCCCCACCGTGTCTCCATCCCACCCCCGCTCCTCCACGGGGCCCTCGTCCCGCCGGACGCCTCCCCCTCCGTGAGCAGCCATCTCCATCACACTCACACAGCCCCCCCACCTCCCCTGCCCCCCACCTCCCCTGCCCCCCACCTCCCCAGCCCCCCACCTCCCCAGCCCCCCACCGCCCCAGCCCCCACCGCCCCAGCCCCCCACCGCCCCAGGCCCCCACCTCCCCTGCCCCCACCTCCCCTGCCCCCCTCCTCCCCTTCCCCCACCGCCCCAGCCCCCCACCTCCCTCGCCCCCCACCTCCCCAGCCCCCCACCGCCCCAGCCCCCCACCGCCCCAGCCCCCCACCGCCCCAGCCCCCCACCGCCCCAGCCCCCCAGCCCCCCACCGCCCCAGTCCCCCACCTCCCCAGCCCCTCACCTCCAACTCCTCCTAACCCCCCTCCCCACACTGCTCGCCACCTCGCTCCCTGCCCCCGTCCATCCCTGGCCTCGTTCCTCACTGTGGAGCCTCATTAATCTTCGCCTCACGCGCGCCTTCTCCCTCTCTCGCTCTCTGTCTCTCTCTCGCTCGCTCTCTCTCCCTTTCACTCTCTCTCGCCCTCGCCAGCACTCTCTCACATTCTCCCGCTCTCTCTCTCGCTCTCTCTCGCTCTCTCTCGCTCTCTCTCGCTCTCTCTCTCGCTCTCTCTCGCTCGCTCTCTCTCACACTCTCTCACGCTCTCTCTCGCTCTCTCTCGCACTCTCTCGCTCTCTCTCTCGCTCTCTCTCTCGCTCCTCTCTCGCTCTCTCTCTCGTCCTCTCTCTCGCTCGCTCTCCCTCGCTCTCTCTCGCTCTCTCTCGCTCTCTCTCTCGCTCTCTCTCTCGCTCTCTCGTCTCTCGCTCTCTCTCGCTCTCATCTCTCGCTCTCTCTCGCTCTCTCTCTCTCTCTCTCTCTCGCTCTCTCTCGCTCTCTCTCTCTCTCTCTCTCTCTCTCTCTCTCTCGCTCTCTCTCGCTCTCTCTCGCTCTCTCTCGCTCTCGCTCTCTCCCTCTCCCTCTCTCTCCCTCTCTCTCGCTCTCTCTCGCTCTCTCTCTCGCTCTCTCTCTCGCTCTCTCTCGCTCTCTCTCGCTCTCTCTCGCTCTCTCTCGCTCTCTCTCTCGCTCTCTCTCTCGCTCTCTCTCGCTCTCTCTCGCTCTCTCTCGCTCTCGCTCTCTCTCGCTCTCTCTAGCTCTCTCGCTCTCTCCCTCTCGCTCTCTCCCTCTCGCTCTCCTCCCTCTCTCTCTCTCGCTCTCTCTCGCTCTCTCTCGCTCTCTCTCTCGCTCTCTCTCTCCCTCTCGCTCTCTCCCTCTCGCTCTCGCTCTCTCTCTCCCTCTCTCTCCCTCTCGCTCTTTCTCGTGCTCTCTCTCCCTCTCTCTCACTCTCTCTCGCTCTCATCTCGCTCTCTCTCTTGCTCTCGCTCTCTCTCTCTCGCTCGATCCCTCTCTCTCTCTCGCTCTCTCTCTCTCGCTCTCTCTCTCTCGTTCTCTTTCTCGCTCTCTTTCACTCTCTCTCGCTCGCTCGCTATCTCTCTCGCTCTCTCTCTCCCTCTCTCTCGCTCGCTCCCTCTCTCTCGCTCTCTCTCTCTCTCTCCCTCTCGCTCTCTCTCTCTCTCGCTCCCTCTCTCTCTCTCGCTCCCTCTCTCTCGCTCTCTCTCTCTCCCTCTCTCTCGCTCTCTCTCTCTCGCTCTCTCCCTCTCTCTCGCTCTCTCCCTCTCGCTCGCTCTTTCTCGCTCTCGCTCTCTCCAGCATTCTCTCGCCATATCTCTCCCAATCCTTCTTCCCTCCCTGTCCCCCCCCCCCCTCCCCCGGTGTTCCGTCGTCTCTCCTGCTCTCTCACCCTGTCCAGGGCCTCACACCCCCCCCCCCTTCCCACCACTCCTCACCCCACTCCTCACCCCACTCCACTCCTCACCCCACTCACCCTGTACATCACGCGCATCTGTGTCCTGTGTAGGCGCTCAGAGGGCCTGAGCTGGAATTCCGAGTTGTCTTCTGAGCCGAGCCGCGAGTACTGCCCCCCCCCCCGCCCCCCCCCCCCCCCATGAATACCCCGGGCTCAGAGCTAAGAGCAATCCATGTCAGTGCTCGAATCTCGCTGTTCAAAGCTCGAATCTCGGACTCGAGCGTTCAATGCTAAACCTTCGTGCTGCGGGCCTCCTTGCTGCACACAGCTCTCACCCGAGGTTCTAGGTGCTCCGTGCTTAAGAGTTCATTGCTTGGTATTCAGAGGTTCATTCCTCGAACCTCAGTGCCTCAGTGCTCAACGTCTTAAGAGTTTAACACTTGGACTTCTAGATTTGAAGTTTTCCTGACTGCAATGATCCATACTCTTTGGTTCTTTCGGTAAAGTCACGTAGGTAAAAATAAAAAATAAAGTTAATCAAATCACGACGTTTCGGAGGCAGCACGAGCTTCCGTCATCAGATGTATAACTGGCACAGCAAAATTACTTTTTTACAGTCATTTTGCTGTGCTAGTTTTACACAGTCATTTTGCTGTGCTAGTTTTACACAGTAATTTTGCTGCGCTAGTTTTACACCTGATGACGGAAGCTCGTGTTGCCTCCGAAACGTCGTGATTTGATTAACATTATTTTTTATTTTTACCTACGTGACTTTACCGGAAGAACCAAATAGCGCTTGGACTTCATTGCTCGGGACAGCGAATTCTTGCGCGACGCGGTAGATGCATTCCTGACAAGTGCTGCATTACGGAAAAATGCACTAAGCGATAAGTTGCTGTATGTGCATTAAGGGGCATAAATGAACAATGTGATCCAAGTTTTGAAGCAGATTTACACTTAAAAGTCAGCCCCACGGTATTCCCATGGTGGGACAGAGAAGCGAGAACAGGGTACGCCTAAGCCCCCTGGCACCGTCTCACCCCGCGCGCCGTCCCGACCCGCGCACCGTCTCACCCCGTGCACCATATTCGTTCAAATTGAATAAAAACTCGCCCCTACTAAAGACGGCATCGCAATACTGTACAGCGTAAAGTAAACGAAGGTAGTCCTACCTATACTATCACGCCTCATATTAAAATATAAAAATGAGAGGACCTATTCAAGGAAAAGCTAATGGTAGTCTTGCAGAGTTTCCTGAACTGTTTGGTGCTCGGAACCAAATCTGAAGGCCGGTGGAGGAGAGTTCCACATCTTAGGCACCACTCAAGATGGCCCCTGCTACCGCTCGGCGTAAAATGAAACATTCTCGGTTGATTTAGCAGGGCCTGGCCTGAGGGGTGCAAGGTATGTGTCTAATCGACGTAGTCTGGGGGGACCAAACGGAACTGCACACAAATGGAGACCAAGGCCGATTTGAGCTTTATAGGTCATTACAGCTAACTTTAATTGTATGGGATAACTCCTACAGATCCTGGCTAATACGTCTAAGCATGTGGGCAGCCCGCATTCTGGACCAGCCGTATCGCTCCACGCCTGTACCCAGAATTCCCATACCGCTCGGCCGCACAACTCGAGAAAGTAGTTCGTCCAAAAAGTGTTACCAGACGGAAGAGAAACGTGTTGTGGCCAAAACGTGTTGCAGCATGAACGCCGGCACATTTAGCGAGGATTCCCGGCACTCGGAGATACGTGGTCAGTGCTCGGAGAGCTTGGATCACATTCTCAGCGCTTCGAACCGCCAAGTTCAGGACTTTGGGGCTCACAGCTAAAACCTCAGTGCCCTCAGCGCCCGGAGTTCTCTGTCCTCAGGCGCTGTCCGGGTGGTGCGGACGTTGAAGAACCCCCGTATAGCCTGAACAGACTGTTGGGGCAAGTTCTCTTAGCGAATAGCACCTATGAAGGCTGGCACAGCACACGAGGGTGTGGGTGGCCAGTACCATGCCAGGCCGCCTAGGGGAGGCCCAGGACCGGTCCAGATAATCGTCGCCGACGTTGGCCGTGAGCGGGAATCGAACCCGGTGTCCTAGCCGGGTTCGTAGCGCAGCACTCGCTAAACTGCTACACCACCCACACCTACCCCACCGCCCCCGTGTCAACGGCGCATGTAGCTGGGTGCCTGGTGCTGGGCTGCCTGGTGTTCCCCGATGGCTGGGACGCGGCGGAGGTGCGCGCCCTGTGCGGTGAGCACGCCAGCAAGTACACGCTGGGCGAGTGCTCGGTGCGCTGGGCCTACATCCTCGCCATCATCGCCATCCTCGACGCCATGATCCTCGCCTTCCTCGCCTTCGTGCTGGGCAACCGTGGCAACGCGGCGCTGCCCCCGGACCTCCGCTCCGACTCCAAGGGTGAGCCCCCGCGGTGGTGGCGACGGTGGTTGTGATGGTGTTTGATAACGGCCGTTATGCTATTTATCCACAATTCTCGTTTAAGTTGACTTCACTCGGCCTAACGTTGAGTCGAACTTCAACCCTGAGTCCAACCCCTAGGCCAAAACTCGCTAACTATGGTCCCTAACCATCAAACCTGAACCCGAAACCCTCCCCATAAACCCCAACCCAGCCCTACCCCCTCGCTGTAACGCTAAACCGAACCCTTGCCCTCGCTAACCTACAGCCTGTGCCCTACTGACCGTGCTCTTCTCCCTGTATCCACCTCCCTCTCTGTGCCTCCTTCTCTTGGCCTCCTTCTCTGTGTCTCTTTCTCTGCCCCTCCTTCTCCGCTCCTCCCCGCATCGCCGTGCGCTCAGACAACATGGCCTGAGGTGAGGGTGCCAACCCAGCCCCTGGGGCTTGCGCGGTCTGAGACTTAGAGGTTCTCAAGTTGGACAGATGTTAACTACCTCGCCTGGTACACAGGAGGTCGTGGATTCGATCCCGACCCTGACACCTGCTGCTGTATATTTGGAATTTGCGGTGTCTCTCTTCCGTGGTCGCGCGGTCTTTTCTCCGGGTCCTCCGGTTTTTCCCTCCACATTTAGAATCAACATTATGCATTTAGAGTATTTGGTTGCTATACATTTCTGATAAGCCACTTTGTTGATGAATTATCATTTGTGGTCTGGTCGCTTCTGATAAAGAGCTAATATATAGCTGCTAAAATAAATAGATTTTGCGAGTGAGAGTTCTGAGAGGTGTGAGGTGTTATGAAGTCCTCATTGGTGTGGCGGTGAGGGTATGCATGCATACGTGTGTGCATGTTTACGTGTGGGGAGCGGTAGTGTTGCGGTTAGCGCTACAAAACCCGGTGACCTGAGTTCGATCCCGCTCATGGCCAAGAACCAACGACGAATATCAGAACCAGGTCCAGGCCCTCCCCTAGGTCGACTCAGCCTCAAATGAGTACCTGGTGCAGTGTGTGAACATCGCTACTGGGGAGACGAATGCTGTCAGATGTGGTTCTGGCCACCCACACCCTCGTGTGCCGTGCCAACCTTCATAGGTGCTACTCGCTAACAACACTTGCCACAATAGTCTGTTAAGGCTATACGGGGATCTTTGCTTTGTCTTTGTAGGGTACTGTCTGTGTGTATGGGGAGCGGCAGTGCAGTTGGCACCCTGCGTTGTGAATGTAGCCACCACAACTCTATTCCTGCTCACGTCCACCATCAATGGTGAACATCTGAACTGGTCCTGTGCCTCCCCTGTTGGCTCAGCCCTAAAAGCGTATATGTGTTGCGTTGTGTTAATATATGGCCGTGCTGGCCATATATTAATAATAGGCGCTCACTAACGGCACTCGCCCCAACATCCTGTGTAGGCCACACGGGGGGCGGGGCGGGGGTGGACCTTTGTGTGTATTTGTGGGCACGTACAACGAGCACGCTCGTCATCATCCCCATACCCCCCACGCCTTTCTCTTTCAGGGCCCGACGAAGAGGTGACCTGCAAGTCCGTCTGACCTGGTGGCCCGGCCAGGACCCCACTGCCCCCCCCTCCCTTCCTCCGACCCCGAGCCCTCCTCTCGACGCCACGAACCCCCACCCCCTCGGAACACGAGGAGTGCAGGGGTTGACTCTCTTATGGGGGTGGGGGGTCCTCTTTTCTCTCTTTGGGGGCCTCGATCCGTCCTTGGTGGTCCCACCTCTCCCTGCCTCCCCCCCCCCCACTCTTTATTGTGGGGGGGGTGGGGGGGGGCGTATCCCTCCCTTGACCCCCCCCCACCCGTACCATGGATCTGGACGCACACGTTTGTGCGGGTGTACACTCACACACACACGCCGTACTGTGCTCACACACTTGCGCACGCACTTGTACCCGTGCGTGCACCCGTGCGCGTGCACGTGTACACGTGCACGCGCACAGGCGTGTGAAACATATGCGCGCACAGCATAGCCTGCAATGCATACACGCATATACGTGTACTATTACAGGCCATGATACAAACACAATGGGTGGGCAGGAGATGGCAGTCGAGCAATGGATTCTTGAATCGCCTGTGCAGAGCGTTTCGGTGTCCACGCCCTTCGTGTGTGCAGTGGGGTTTTCCCCGGGATCCGCGGCGTTCTCCTGCGTCGATGGAATTGGCCAAACTTCCCAATGTAGCAGGACCCTCCTGAAAATGAGTCTCGAGACCCAGTGAGGCTTACCTGGGGAATGAAGGTCATTCATGTTATTTTTATTGCTGCCGCATGTAATAAATACACTCCCTTACAATGCACTACCCACGCACACAACAAGCTGCATGCAGTACTCATGCTGTACACGACACCGCGACAACAGCCGCCATTTGCCACCGCGGCGTTCGTGCCAGGCTAGGTGCACTTTTTAGGCCATGTGAAGTTGCGGAGGGCCCGCGTTCATGACCAGGAGGTCACGGCTTTCCGTACGGGAGGAAATGACGACAGGGAACGCGAACGGTTCCGATCGGCAAAGTGTGGGTACTCCCACCTCTTCCAAGACGTCTGGGCCAGCGTGGAAGAGTAGGCCAAAGTACCACGAGAGGGGTCGCTCCCTCTAGAGCTCTGAGCGCAACGAGTACGCACGGCGTGTGACGCTCGCTCGCGGAGTGCGACGCGGAGTGATGCACACAGGCGGGGTGTGACGCGCGGGTTGTGACGCGCGGGTTGTGACGCGCGGGTTGTGACGCGCGGGTTGTGACGCGCGGGGTGCGACGCGCGGGGTGCGACGCGCGGGGTGCGACGCGCATGCGCACACGCCCGGGGTGTGACGCGCATGCGCACACGCCCGGGGTGTGACGCGCATGCGCACACGCCCGGGGTGTGACGCGCATGCGCACACGCCCGGGGTGTGACGCGCATGCGCACACGCCCGGGGTGTGACGCGCATGCGCACACGCCCGGGGTGTGACGCGCATGCGCACACGCCCGGGGTGTGACGCGCATGCGCATGCTGCGAGGCCATCGTGAACCATCCTCGCACTCGGCGCATCCCCTGTGCAACGCGCACTGGGGGAGGGCAGTGTCAGGAGGGGGGGCAGTGTTGGGGTGTGGGGGGGTTCGCTCGTGTAAGAGCGCGAGTGTGTGTCTGTGTGTGCATACCAGTGTTGTTCGTGTGTGTGTGTGAGTGTGAATCTGTGTGCATACCAGTGTTGTAGTATATGTGTGTGAGTGCATACCAGTGTTAGTGTCTGTTTGAGAAGTTTGTGGGTGTGTAATGGTGTATCTGCGTGCGTTTGTGTGTGTATATGTGCCCCAGGAGTCATTGTCGGCTGTGCATGTGGTATTTGTATAGGTGTGTCAGTGTGTGGTGTGTGTGAGGAGCGGTGGTGCAATGGTGAGTGCACAGCGCTACGAACCCTTCGATCCAAGCTCGATTTCCGCTTAGTCAACATCGGTAAGGAATATCTGTATAGGTCCTGGGTCTGCCTAGGTCGACTCAGCCTTACTCAAGTACCTGGTGCGGTGTGTAACCATCAGAATGAGGGAGACAAAGGCGGCCGGGTATGGAACTCGCCACCCACACCCCCTCGTGTGCCGTTCCGGCCTTCATAGGTGCTACCTAATAGCACTTGCTATTTAAGGCTATACGGAGGATGTTTGTGATTGTGTTTGTCCGTCATTCTGTATGTGTGCGGTGCTAAGAGAACTTGCCCCAGCAGTCTATGTAGGCTATATGTGTGTGTGTCTGTACGAGTTATTGTCTGTGTGTGTATGTATATGTATGTGTCGTGGTTGGCGCATTGCACTACGGACCCGTCGACCCGAGTTTGATTTTAGCTCAACGGCCAACACCAGTCATGATCTGAACCGGTCTTGGGTCTTCCTTATGTCTACTCTGCCTCAATTGAGTTCCTGGTGTGTAAACATCACCACTGGTGAGACAAAGGTGGCCCGGTGTGCTGTTGGCCACCCACCCCCTCGTGTGCCGATACCCGGGTTTCGTAGGTGCCCTCAAACAGCACTTGCCCCAACAGTCTGTTAAAGGCGGCGATACGGGGGATCTTTTGTATGTATGTGTATAGGTGTACATGTGTGTGGTGTCCGTATGTCTGTGTGTTAGTGCACGTGAGTATGTTGTGGGACAGTGATAGAGCAGTTGTGGGGAAAGTGGAGAAGTTCCCGTGCTTGGGCAGTGTGCTTGTGTTGTGTCCAGCTCTCGTTTGGCAGCCGATGTCTCACTCCGAATCAGCCGAGCAGCGTTAACTTTTCATCGGCTGTGTAATGCTGTGTGGATGCTACCTGGCCTATCGCTCCATACAAAGCTCCGTGTCCTCTCAGACACAGTTATGACATCCCTTTGCTTGCAAAACATGGAATTCTCTAAATAAACATCTGCGCCGGTTTGAAAACTTCAGGCTGGCGCTGCCTACAATCCTTCCTGGGGTTGACCAGAATGGATTGTGTGAGTAGCTCACAAATCTTGGAAAGACCTGGACACGGTCCCATTGGTGAGCTCCTCCAGCAAGTGAGGGTGCGTTGGCTGGGTCATGTAGCCTGCATGCCCAGCCACCGCATGCCCAAGCAGCTTCTGTTCGGCTGTATAGATGGGGCTAAACGGGTGTGGCATGGCCTCGAGAAGAGATGGACTGATGAGGTACAGGAGGATGTGGAGCTGAGTGAACTTGCCGCCGACCAATGCCAGCAGTGTCAAGATCAGCCTCCGTGAAGGAGGCTCGTGAAGGATGCCACTGGATAGTTGGAGGCAATCGCCATCCAGCAGCAATGGAGGGCAGAGGAGCGATGCTCACAACAATAAGCGAAGCGCTGGGCGGCTAAAATGGTTGGCGCAGTCGGGAGCACAAGTTGCTACAATCTGCCAGTCATCTCATTTAGTCAATATAGCCCCTTGGTCTGTTCCATGACCTCTTGCGAATGGGTCTTCGACACTTCACGTGGCCTTAGTGTGCCTGTATATGTGCATCTCAGTCGGTGTGTATAGGTGTGCATGTGTAATGACGACTTGACACACTTTTCTTTAGATGGAACATTATTGAAGACACGTTCCCTTCACATCAGGCGGAGATCACACTGCAACAGCCCCGAGTCTCCCCGTACATAACCCTTATATATCAACACCAGGCCACGCCCCCCTTCTCGAACATTCTCGCCGACTCTAGACGCTCGTTCTACCGGCAGACTCTACCGTCCTCTTCCGTCACCTGACCACGCTCCCTGCTCAAACATTCCCGTAGCCACCAGTCCCTTCGGACTCAACTGATACCCCTGTCATTACCTTCCATGGCCACTAGTCCTTTTGTACTGTCGGTTGACCTCCCTGTCATTACCTTCTGTGGCCACTAGTCCCCACATACCGCATGCAGGCTCTATTGGCATTCCACATGTGTTGGGAGCGGCAGTGAAATGGTTCGCGCACTGTGCAATGAACCCGACGACCCGGTCCTGGGCATCCCCTGGGTCGCCTCAGCCTCAATTGAGTACCTGGTACAGTAAACATCGTCACTGGGGAGACAAAGGCGTCCGGGCGAGGTGTTGGCCACCCACCCCTTCGTGTGCCGTGGTGGTCTTCATAGGCGCTCGTTAACAGCACTTGCCCCAATAGTCTGTTAAGGCTATGGGGAGGTGTATGTCTCTGTCGGTGCACCTATATATGCATCTGTGTATGTAAGCGTGTCCCTAAGTGTGCCTGTATATGTGCACCTTTGTGTGTGTGTCTCTGTCGGTGCATCTCTGTATGTGTGTGTGTGCGCGTTTCTCTTTGTGCGTATGGAGGTTTGTGTGGTGGTGACAACGCCACTTTGTGGCGAACAGTAGTGTGTGTCAGTGTGTGTGTGGGGAGCGGTAGTGTAGCGGTTAGCGCACTGCGCTACGAACCCGGCCACCCGAGTTCGATTCCTGCTCGCTGCCACCACCAGTGACGATTATCTGAACCAATTCTGGGGCTCCCCTAGGTCGACTCGGCCTCACATGAGTACCTGGTGCGATGTGTAAAACATTGCCACTAGGGAGACAAAGGCGGCCGGGCGTGGTGCTGGCCATCCCACCCCCTCGTGTGCCGTATCGGCCTTCATAGGTGCTCGTTAACAGCACTTGCCCCAAAAGGCTGTTAAGGCTATACGGGGGATATTTGTCAGTGTGTGTGTCGGTGTGTGTGTCAGTGTATGTGCGTGAGTGCTGCTGCCGGGCTCTATAGGGTAACGTGACCACCTCGACTCAACCGGAGCTGATCGAGGTGGGGGGGAGCCGCGTCTCCATCGGAGACTTTGACTGCGGCTCCTAACCGGCCTCGATTATTTTTGTACAAACCTTGGCAGCTGATAGCTGCGGCCACGGGACCACGGAGAGTCATGATGATTCCGATGATCGTGGTAACGATGATGATGATGATGGTGGTGGTGTTGGTGTCAGATATAAAAATGATGGTAGTGATGGTGACGATGATAATGGTGGTGAACATGACGACGGTGCGGTGGTGGTGGTGGTGGCGGCGATAATTACATTGATAAATGGTGGTGGTGATGATAATGGTGATGATCAGGGCTTAATTTCAGCTGGAGCTGTTCGAGGGCTGCGCTCCGGAAAATACCGCGTAAAAAATGAAGCTCTGTTGGTGGTGAAGATTAGGAAGGCGATGCTGACGCTCTCCAACTCATTTCTAAAATCCGTGCACCCGTGTAAGAAACACCAAGAAGAAAACAAACAAACAAAAAACCGAACAACTTATTCCTGTTTATGACGACGATGATGATGAGTGATGGTTTCGCGGGACCTTTATACATAGGAGATATATATAAATATATAATATAGACTAATGGAGATATAGATTGTATACTCTTGACTACTATAACACGATTTATCCTTGAGCACTCAACTCCCGCACATTGCCGCTCCGTGGGCCTCGTCTCCCGAGCTGCGGCTCCGCTGCCGACCATCCCACGACGTCGCCCTCGCGCCTTGGCCCGGTGACCAAACTCCCTCCCGCCTCGCTCGCTCGCTGACCCCCTGACAAGAGTCCAGCCGGGATGACCCCTAGGCCGGCGTGGTCACGGAACACTCGGGCTGAGGAGCAGAGGTGGTGGCCCGTTGGTCGGTGGGGGATGTGCCAGCACCTCACGGGAATTGGTGGCAGGAATTGCTTTGTATTTTGGTAAAGTGCACAGTTGTGATAAGACTTCGGCTGACTTGAGAATTGGGCCCTGGTTTGGGCAGTGCAAGAGCTGGCGACAATGAGCGGTGATCACCCCCCCCCCCCCCCCCCCACACAAACTTTCAGCTGCTCACGTTGGTGGTGAGACGGGGTGGGTCGACGCTGAGACACCTGGTGGAAGGTGCCATGTGAAACGATGGTGATGGTGGGTGGTGATTATGGAGGGAGATAGGGAGGGTCTGGCCAGGGCAGGGTCTTAAAGACGCGATGTTGATCAGGAATGACACGTGGGGGTGCCAAGGTGACTGGATTTTCACAGAAATAAAAATGCGTTGAAGCGAATTTCACGCCGCGTGTCGTTCGCTGTGCGAGCCTGCGAGTTCACGCTTCCCCGGGCATTGATGACCTCGATGGGTTAAACAAAGATAATTTGGGCACTTTTCTTAAACCTCTTCCGCTTCTGTCCATTCGGCACACCACAGCTGATCGGCCAGTCACTTACGGTGGAGTAGAAAGTGCAGCGCATACTCTCACCTCTTTCAAGATGATATCTGATTAATTAATAATTATTTGCCGATTGAGATATTTAAATGGCCACGCAACTAGCCTTGGTTAATGTAGATTTGTTATCTCACGGTACATGATGCATTGAGGTGAGCGGTGGCGAAGTGGTTAGTGCACTGTCCTGGACACACCATGCCCTCGTGCGTCGTACTGTCCTTCGGAGGTCCTTGCTCACGGAATTTGCCCCAACAGCCTGGAAGTCCAACACGGGGATCTTTGTGTTAAGGTTTGGGGGGCGTTCATGTCGTGGTTCACGCACTGCGCTGCGATGCGCTGAACTCGATTCCCACCCATGGCTAACATTGGTGGCGAGTATCTCAACCAGTCCTGCCCCTACCTTCCAACATTCACTGACCAGCTTGGT